TCTGTGCTGGCCTAAAAGCAGCGCTGTTGTGTGAGATTGCGGCTCTTCAGGAGCAGCAGGCAAAACAACCGCAAGCGCAGCTCCTGCATCCAGAGGAAGATATGCACTGGATTCTTAATAAGACAGAAAATGTCTTTAAAGACGTCTTCTACGAACCTGCAATTCGTGCTGCAGCTTCAGCCTGCGACTTTGCGCAACCGGCGCGCGAGCTGATGCAGACGCTGCAGGGGATCCGCGCCCTGCAGAAGAGGAACAGCAACAGTCCAAAGGAGTCGCTGCTCCCTCTTCTGCTTACTGAAAAGGGTAGAGCCGCTTTGGAAGCGTTCATTGCTGCAGTTGACAAGCAAGTGCTCGGCAGCTTGTGCGCCAGCTGGGAACGCAGTGGCGTGCTGCAGACGCAGGCAGACCCTGAGCAGCGACAGTACGAGGGCGCCCCACCACGTGTGCGGCAGCTGTCCGCGCGCAACACGGGAAAAGACGCGGGCACTCCGATGGCCCTTTCTTCCTACGCAGATGCGGCAGGGCGGTAAACTTCGAACACTTGTGCAGCGGCTGCCGCAGTCGTTGCCCCAGCAGCGACTGCTGCAGCTGTGACAGCCAAAATGCAACTCTGCACTGCCACAGCCCGCAGGGCTGTCTTTTGGTTAGACGCTGCTAGCGCCTCTGGCTTGCTGCTGTTGTGCTTTGTGGTGCGGCAGCTGCAGGGGAGACGTACACCCCAAGGCTTCGTCGAACGCCCCGCTGTTCTTGCGGGCTTCAGATGTTAAGGCTGCCCGAGCAGTCATTGCTAAGCATGGTTTTGTTGTTATAAAGAATGCCCTCACTCCCGAGCAGCTACAGAAGGTGCAGGAAGCCACATTTTCTGCCAGCGAAACAGTACGTTTGTCGCAGGAGATCACCCTGAATAATACCACTTCTTGAGCTTTGAACACGAAGCGTTAGTGGCTGCACATGAGGCAGGACTCTTCTTAACTTCAATTTGACGACTTTATGGACAGGCGTCAGATGGAGGGNGACCCCAACATTTACTGTACCAGGCCTACCTATGGTGCGTGGCGCTGCGCTTGCCGAGGTGTTGCTGCAACTGCACCTTCTTATTTTGCTATTCTCATTGTGGATGCTCAGAGTATGGGTGTTAGGGCTTTCTGTAGCTGTGTCTGCATGCGCTGCTTTCTGCTTCATAGGGCGCCTGCACTGTCTTCTCCGTGGGTCGTTGATCGAGCAGTCTCTAGTTAATGCGCAGCGGTTGTTTATGCCGCTGGTGCATTCATATCTTCCGTCTGGAGCTCCGCCGGAGGCAGGAGGCCTTCAAGGAAGGACACGGTGGGGACCCCTGAATTGAGAAAACGGCAGCAATTCAGAGATGTTGCACTTGTGGAGTTTGCTGAACATGCAAATGCAAGAACCAGCATTTCATCTCGCTCTATTGCCTGTGGAAACACCGGGTGTTTTTGTAATCTGCTGTTTGCTGTACTTTTCGTAGGTTGTTTGTCTCTGAGATGCAGACGGTAAACGCAGGTATGGCGATATAAAATCTTTCATTACTCTTCCTACCCTATACGTGCAGCGCATGGAGAAAGCATACGGCAGAGACTACAACGTGGTCTCTATCTTCTCATGTGCGCACAGATGCACTGGCGCTTCCGCAGTCGTGGCATCGCGACAATTCGCACCGGGGGCTAACTGTGGTCCTCCCATTAGTGCCTATAAACTCCGGCAACGGCCCCACGGAACTGCTCCCCGGGTCGCACTTACTCAGCGGCGAGGTAACCACAAAAAAAATTTGGACCAAGCGGCGGTTTAGCCGCGTTCTCCTATTGCGTGAAGTTCTGGATATGGGTAGCCTCTTTGGCAACGGGTCTCTCCTGCAGTGCGTTTCTTTGCCTGCAGGAAGGAAACAGTTGGCTTCAGTGGCTGCGCTCACTACCGGCGTTTTTAAAGGCTGCTGTTGAAGGAGGGTCTACAGTTAAGGCCGAAATCGAACCAGGAGATGCACTTGTCTATGACTCCAGGCTTCTACATCGGGGCCTAGGTGAGCAAGCAAAGAGAAANGGCTTCTGTGAACTTTCTTCTGTTGCCACACAGCAAACGAAACTTGGCATCCTCGCCCTACGTTGATCCTGCGTTACGACTACAAGGAAACACCGCCTCCTGGAGAATATACGAGTACGTACGCCTTTTGTCTCATATCTCTTCGCTTCATCGTTTACAGCTTTCATAAATTAGAGTGTGCTTGGTTTTGTTGTGTTGAAGTGTATGTGAGGTGTCAGTGCCCCTAGTTTTGCCTGCTTCCGTCTATTTGCATATGACTTCTTGCAGATATCCTTCGCTCCCTTGGAGCGTCTGCATTTGGCCGGGCAGTGGGCGGATTCTTGAATATGTATGAAAAGCTATAGTCGTGCGCTCGCGAGAGACCTTCGCTTGGTGGTTTAGGGTTTAAATCCCATGGCGGCATGCTGCTGAAGCCCATGCATTTCCTGCTTCCTGCAAAGCCCACTCCAAATGATGAGGAGAGCAGCTTAGCACACCTTGCTACAGTGGCCAGGCTGGCTTGCAAGCTTCTCGCTGGTTGCACAAACGTCAGGCCCTCCAGAGGCTTCTAC